CCCTTCTCTCCGCAATAGCAAAGTTGCCTACTATTTCTAGTCGTGGTTCCGTTACCGTTCATATACACGACCACGCGACATATTTGTGTTATCACGGATTAACGAGGTTCAAGTATCAGTTTGTAATTTGGTATTAAGGGCTAGATCATTCATATCATAGAATAACAAGATTACAACTCAACTGCGTGGTTGAATGGGGATTGTTAGTAATGTGGACTGTTGACTCTATTACTAGCAATGCATCATGTCTGGTTGACGTTCCAAGATTATCATCCATAAAAAAACTCTACTGCGTGTCCCGAAGACTCCTACGGTGAGGGTAGGGGGAAGGGGGAAGTAATGAGGGTTATATGATCCTTCATTGTAAACAATGGGGTTACTATTAGGTCATTTCAAAGCTATGTCTGGAAACCAGTCCTGCCCTAGTCATTACGACCGATGAAGGTCGGATTTCACCAAAGAAACTGATCGCGTTTAGTTCAAACTATTATATATACTAGAACGCCATTAAAACGTTTAAACGTGATCAAAGCTTCATTTTGCGTTTCACCACTATAAATTTCACTAAACATGTTTATAAATTCTGAACGTCTGATTTCCTACAGTTATCTCTTTAAACGTATTTAAAGCTGTTAAACAGTTATCAATCAAAATTTTGACAATATAATGTCGGGAATAAAAAAAAATTGCCAGAGTGTAAAAAAAATCCTCAATTATATATTTTTTTACTAGTTTATAGGTAAAGGTTGTTGTTTTATATTTTGTAGTCGACGGTACTTATTTTATATTAAAAAACTTATTCTAATTATCACATGATTGAATTACAAATATTTCTTAGAATTATTGTAGTTAAATTACCCATTGCATCAAATATTATTTTATGAGCATGTAACACTGTGAACGAATGAAAATCTAAACTTCATTTTGTAAACGCGATCTGTATAATGCAGCATCCATTTAAAGTAAAGCGAGATCAACGTCGTTATTTTTTCGGGTTCACGCTGAACTCTGTTTCCTTGAACGTGTTTATACTACGATTGGTGAAATCCGACCTTAATGTTATTGTGTATTTAATATTTTGACCTAAATAAATTAGTAGTACTTTGTATTCACACATAAAAAAAATAGTTACACCGATTATTTAAAAAAGCAACACGTAGTTTCTTGCTCGTTCTTCTTGTGCTGAGACAGGTTTCCGAATGAGCGGTAGATTAAAAACTATTAATATTCTAAAGTGGTTAAATAAAGTTTACTTGAACAAAGGATTTTCTATTCTATTCTTGACATTCATCGACAAAAATGTCCTATAGGAAATAATTATTTTTGACTGGATTTGATTTGATTATGGTTAAATTCTGGAGTATTCGCTACGCTAACCTGACGGACGTGAGGCTTCATTGACATTTCTTTAACTGCCCTTCTAACCTGTATTTATGACGGTGCGCAAACGAGATCAACATTTCAGCATCACTTATAAAAAATATCTCGTGTTAGTTGCTGACGTAATTGATTCATTGTTTAGCCAAGGAAACGTTACAATTTTCTAGTGAATTGCATCTGGCATTTTAATAGTGAAGTAACAATTTGAGATTTCACAAATGCCTTATGCCTTACGTTTATTCAATCCCCGTATAATAGATACAATTATTGAATGTGGGTGCTTTTCTATGTATACTATCTGTATTTAGATTTGTCAGTTGTCTAGTATCCATAGTACAAATTCTACTTCATTTGGAACTAAAAGGCGATGTTTAGTATTAAAATAAAAAAAGCAGATCATTTGATACATTATGCTGTGTAACGCATTATTTTCCAAAGTCATTATTGTATGTATATATGATTATGGAATGATGCAACCTTATGCTTACGGTATACGTTTATGGGGCAACAATGGAGTATGATATGAGGACAAAGTCGACCTGACTGAAGTCACCTGACCTGAAGGTCAGAAGTGGAGGTTAGACCATAGTGGAAAAATTATTTATAAATTGACCATCGACTTAGGGGGGAATTGTTAGTAATGGTTGTCATTACTATGCCAATGACCTTATTGCTAGCACTACACCACGTCAGGTTGACCTCCACGCAATTACCCCTGGAAAACATCGTAGATTTTTCATGATAAATTTACCACAATGGGCTAACTGCGGATCGGCTCCTCCTATGGTGACCCGCCAGTATACCATATTGTTAGTGTAGGCGGGAGGAACATTCCATTCGAAGTGATATGCACTTTAAAAAAACATCGACCTGACATGTTTTATAGTTAGTAATGGGGCCTCGAGTTCCCATTACTAATAGTTCCCTCCCCACAGTCCACATAATTTGTTCGTCTTGACTTGCGACATAACCGAATTTAGCAGCGACACGGAATTACATTAGAAAATGATGTTTACGGAAACTGGAACAGTTATTTTTACGTGACACGTGTAGGAATGCTGTATCAGGTGGGCCTCTTTTTTTTTCGAAATATTCAAATGCAACTGGCCTAAAGGATGGTAGCGAATGCAAATGGCACTGAGAACCCGTAGAAGGACTTATGGAGCGGCTGAAGGCCAAATCCTGCCTGACGGATACGACTTTACTCTGAGGGCTCCGTTAGGGGTTCCAAGCTCTGTAAAGGCCGTTGTAATTTCAATCCCCTTCTGAATTGGACGTGAGATCGATTTGTAGGGGTTCAGGTGGGCCATCAGATTGACTAGAACTACTACATGCTACAGTCTTCAGATGAAATATCCCATTATCACAATATCTCGTTAAACACTTGTCTGGTGACATCACTGACGCCACTTTCGAACTTGTTATCTTCCGATTACATAAAGCCACTTATAAACATACCCATGGGAGGCTATCTATCGTAACATTGAGATAAAACTTAACTTTCAATTAGTATGCAATATTTGCTAATAATTTTGTGTGTTGGAAAATTTTAGGATATTTATTTTTATTCTTATATTATTATGTGAACTAATAAATTCTCATAATTATATCCCACATATTTTATTCCATTTAATTATATAATTGTATAAAACTTAATTAATTAAAATAAAACTATATGATTGGCAATCAGCTACAAACCGTGTTATATTATATTTTTATATTACATTAAATATTAATTTTAATGTAAGATACTTAATTATATGCTAGTTTTCATATGTTTACTGGCGTGATGATATAGATAGATATAATTTTTATCGAGCTGCGTTTCTTGTTAGTTCTTCTCAACTCGAAAACTCTGAACAACTGACGTTAGATTTGACATATCATAAGAGTTTTTAATAGACCTACATGAATAAAGATATTTTGATTTGATTGTATCCGTGACTTAGTTCATGTTTTCGGGACATAATGATGATCCCGGTATAAGGGTAACAGTCATAAAAATAGTATTTAAGATGGTTGAAGGAGATAAAGTATTTTTTCCTGTCAATCGATATATGCAGGTCACTCGGACGAGACTGGCGGGTAAAGACGAATTTCTATAGAAATATATATTCCACATACAAGCCTCTTTTTGTTCAGTTTGTTCACGTGTTACGGGGCTGTTGGCCTGTTCCACTTTCGACCGTTTTTGCGTGTGCCCGTTGTAACGAATTGATTTATTCCCACCTGTCCTACTAATTAGACATGCGCAAAACTACATCAAATGAATGGTATCGTATGTCTTTTGCGTATTGGACACTAATTCTTTTATCACATTGAAGACCGCTTTGAAAAACCTTATTTCTCACTAGTGACCGGCATTGTTTTTTATTGTTAATTACTTTAATTATTTATTAAATATGTTTTAGGGTGCAACAATTTGAGGTAGACATTATTTTACCCCTAGATTTATATCAATTATAGTGCCCACGGGTGATCACCCGGTCCACCCACGTGTAAATTTACTTTTGTTCCGGAGTGACCCACCGTTGGAGTCTTTAACGTATTATATGACCATGGCGGTAAATCATTAAATCTCCGTAATTTATAGATCCTTGCACGATTAGTCAGATCAGTGCGGGTGACTAAAGACTAATAATACACGTCTTTTTTAATTTGATAAGAAATTTCTATAGAAACTGGTTGAACCAAACATTTTTCCGTTAATGGATGTACTTCACTTGACTTGATAGGTCAATTTTTAATTATATGATGATGGAATGGGACACTCGCCTGCGCTAACGGTACACGTTGGCTCGGCACCAGTAAAAAATGACTAGTATGAGGTTTTTTTCTATTATAAATAGGTTTGTACTTGGTCTTACCTCACCTTGTGGAAAATGATGATAAGACCTTGGATGTAGTCTGCTTACCCAGAAGAAATCTACTCACCATAGACTTGAAGAATCCGGGGTTGTATTTCTTGATTGATCTTCGGGAACACGATGGTATATTGCTATTTCTCTAGAAGTGTCACATGCGTTAACAAGGAAAAAAACCTTTTTGAAGAATCTCATGCTATGTTTTTTAGCAGAACCTTAGCATGAATCTCAAACTTGGATATGAATTTGTCATCACTATTGCCCTTGATATCATTCTTGGGCGATAAGGTAAAGAACCTTACATCTCAAGAATGATATTAAGTCATTTACTGAACTGTAAATGTTTTATTAAAAAAAAAAACTCAGTATAAAAGGATACAATGATCTTAAGAAATAAAATAGTACAATAGCATCCGTTATTGTACTAATCATAACTTCCGTCAATCTTTGAATAACTGAGAGGAATTGTGGAGTGGTGGAAATTAAAGTATATAAGTGACTCTATATATGTGTAAAATATATATATATATAAAGCAATCAATATATCCGTTGCGTAGTTTTAAAGATTAAAGCATACATACGGACGGACAGACAGCAACAGCGACTTTGTTTTATACTATTTAATCATAACAACAAGAACTAACCATGTAATGGTCTACAATAAATAGTATGCGTTACAATATAATACACAAGTCTTCTAATATTTTTAAATGTGGCGTAATTATTAAAAAATAATGTAAATATTTTACATTTCAGATTACGAGGACTTCCCAACAAGAGATCAGATTTGGGGTCCGGCGCCGCACGAGCTCGATCCTGACATCTGGCCTCCGCCTCCAGATCGAGACCCTAATGCATGGCCTCCCCCCACTAACGTTGAACACAAGTTAGTAACATGACTTTAATTATTTGAAACAATTATTACGTCCTTAACATGGTGGTATCGTTTTTTTATGTTATATGCAGTTAAGTTTAATAAAAAAATATTGTATATTAAGGTAAATTCCGATTACAGCATTAGTTATAATTTATAATTAGTTTAGTTAATATGTTCTAATAGCAAAAATAAATTTTAGTATTATTATAGTGACTATAAAATATCGAAAATTAATGTAATATAATAAAAATAATAATTAATTTCCCGATTGTATCAGGATATATACATTTTTTTCAGTTCATACAGCGCCATCTAGTTCCCAAGCTTAGCAAAGCTTATGTTATGAATACTAAACAGCTGGTAAAAATACTTACATTGAAAACATTCAGACCAACACAAACAATCATGCTTATAAATATTATAAATATTTTAATTATTCGAGGAATCGTACCCTCGACCGTCAAAAATAAAGCAGTGTGCTGCATAGTACATTTCACGAATTATTAGCCTAGTTACATTCATACGAGATAGATTATAAATATGAACTAACCAACTTTATAATCATATGTTGACAATTATGTGATTATTTTTGTGTGTTAAATTCCACAGAGGTCCTCCAGTCATGAAATCAGCTCGCAACAACCCCAGAAACACACGAACAGACAAAAAGACGCCAATCAACCAGCGGAATGCCACCACGTCACAAAGAAAGAGCTCAGATGTCAGAAATCCCAAGTTAGCAGCAAGTAAAGCGCATAGCGGTTAGTGTAATTAAAGTAAAAAAAGCTGCATGACATGCCTAATGGCTAACTACTCTACATAAAATTATTTAGACAGATCATAACAAACTACTTGTTTAGTGTCATAAATGCAATTAATAGATTAAGTACTATTTCTGTTAAAAAAATTACAAAATTGGGCGGAAAGTAAATAGTAATAAATAATCCTGGAGTTACTACACAGCATTATCTGGTCCTAAACTAAGCAGAGCTTGTACTTTGAGTACTAGGCCACTGATAGAAATGCTTAAATGCATTTTTTCTTTCATACAGAACACATACGAATACATTATTCATGAATACAAATATTTGTATTACGGATTCGAATCCGTCACCATCGAAATGTAAGGAGGCAATAATATAAATCACTAACTGCCAAAATCACCACTATCAGTCATTAATGTCCCATTACGTCGTACTTTATAAGATACTTATATTATTTTCAGCTAAAACAAAAGACTCTAGTAACAAAGACCACGGCGGTGGTGGCGGCGGCAAGGATAAACAAGACAGAGACAATAACAACGGTGACACGGACGATGAAAAGCACAAAGAAGAGGAGAGACGATTCGAGCCGGCGTCACACGCTGATGGGGACCTAGTCGACATGCTTGGTTAGTTTGCAATTCTTGCTAAAGTTATAGACGATCGATTCGATCGATTGATGACGATTTATGTGGAAGTGATATAGAAAAAGAATGGCGTGAGTGTAAACGAATGATTGAGATATAAGTGTAAGAGAGATAGAACGAACTGGTAATATAATGATTGAAAAAACAACTATGAACTGAGTTATGTGTATATGTAGGATGTTTTCTTATAAAATATAGAACTGTGGAAAATAGTATATTTATTGAAACATTGCGCCATGTTTATATTACATTGTTGTCTATTCTTTTAAATAAAACAAAACTTTGAAAGACTATGAATTTAAATGGAAACAACATTAGCTTTAAATTTGATTATAAAGTGATCTCATATCACTGTCACTTCTCTCTCTCTGTCTTCATTATTATATAATAATGAAGACAGAGAGAGAGAGAAGTGACAGTGATATGAGAGAGATAGATTTTAACATATTGTTTTTCTGTTACAGAAAGGGACATTGTACAAAAGAACCCAAATATAAGATGGGATGACATTGCCGATCTAGCGGAGGCCAAGAGGTTGTTAGAAGAAGCAGTAGTCTTACCAATGTGGATGCCAGATTTTTTCAAAGTAGGTTCCATAGTTTTAAATTACTAATTTTTAATAAAAAATATATTAAAGAAGTCAAACTATTATAACTATGTTAATCGTGAATAATCTAGCCATACAATTTAATTTGTGTTATAATTATCATAAATTTTTGTTAGTCTATAAAAATATATTTTTGCTTTCTTAATTTAGATGGGATTTGGAAATGTGTACGACCAAAGTATCGTAGTTTTTCATACCTTGCCAATTCTTATATTCTGTAAAATGCAGACTAATATAGCCTTTTCTTTTAACCGAAACAAAAAGCCTATATTAGTCTACCTTTTAAAAAATGCATAATAATTGTATTAAATTTGCATAAACCAAATAGTAAGAAAGTAAACAATTAGTATTACAATATATTGACTTTTAAAGTATAATTTCACTTACACTTAATATTCCATAACACACAAGCATATATTTTAGCAAAATCTTCATAAGAGACTTCATAAATATATTCCTCATATTTATTTCTAACATAAAAAAAATATCTTATATTGCAGGGTATCAGAAGACCATGGAAGGGAGTGCTTATGGTGGGTCCGCCCGGCACAGGCAAGACCATGTTAGCGAAAGCTGTCGCCACAGAGTGCGGCACGACTTTTTTCAATGTTTCCTCATCCACTCTCACTTCCAAGTACCGCGGTGAATCGGAGAAATTAGTCCGGTTACTTTTTGAAATGGTAAAAATATTGTTTTATTTGTATCTGAATTTTATGTGTTATTATATACACTATATGGTTATTATATGCGATATAAATAGTTGCAGTTATAACTGTATTAAAGTCATTTGTGTGATGTATATAACCGCATAAATTTTAAAACAATATTGTTTTAAAATTTCTGTTATATATTTTTATGTTATAAAATTACTTATCCTTTATAAATTTAAATACTAAATATCCCATATCTATATGACTAAGAATGTCTTAATCTGGAATATGATATTCTAGTGCACTCAGTCTCCATTGAAGTTCGTTTAGTAGCTTTTCCACGAAAGAGTAACAAATATATGTTTACACAAGTTTCCGTTTCTAGTAGTCGTAGCCTATAGAACGCTTTTCATTAATGTGAGTAACTTACTCAGTTTTTTTTTCTATCAGATCAAAATTATAGGAGTCACGTTGACTGTCCCTATGTTCGAACGAATTCGAATAATTCGTAACTCAAAACTCAAACTACACATAAGTGTTATTTTCCAGGCTCGGTTTTACGCGCCAAGCACAATATTCATCGACGAGATAGACTCGCTTTGCTCCCGACGCGGCTCCGACAGCGAACACGAAGCGTCGCGGCGTGTTAAGTCGGAATTACTCGTGCAAATGGATGGCCTAGGCTCCGCAACCGATGAACCTGCCAAGGTAAGTTTTGATTACTAACTCCACCTATACCGAAGGGGTACCTGCAGGGATATCTGTGTACCTTCAGATTCCTTGTTGTAGGCTGATTGTTATTATAATAGGAAGGTACTTCTAGAGATCTTCTTGCAGCTGTATTTTATATACAGGTTCTATGCCTGGTTTATTAATTATTCAACCGATATTCTTTATACATGGTTACACTAACACAACATGACTTCATTTTATACCATCTACTGATACCATATTAGTCTACATTTATTATACTTTAATTCCCTTTGTTACGGATTTAAATCTCTCTACCATTTAGTAGTGCTAATATTCGGTAGTCAGCTATAGATGTTAGGATGATGATAGCAGGGTAGGTGATGGTGTGACACCATCTGCAGCTACCCTGGTACCAAACTTTATCATGCCTGCTGTGACTAACTCAATATTCTTCAAATTTCTGTGTGTAAGGAAAGACCAAGACAGTCATATTCAACAAAAAACACGAGTTTCTAATTACAGGAAATTAATCTATCATTACCACGCTGGTCTTTCTTTTTCCCTGACAAATTTATGCTTTATTTTATATAGTCACCTATAAGAGAATTGTATCATATCTAAATATTTAACACTATCTAATATTAATTGTAAACTTAATGTCACTTGTAGGTGGTAATGGTATTAGCAGCAACGAATTTCCCGTGGGATATTGACGAAGCGCTACGACGAAGGCTCGAGAAGCGTATATACATCCCACTGCCCACGCAGGAAGGCCGCGAAGCGCTGTTGCATATAAACCTGCGAGAAGTAAAAGTTGATCCCGAAGTAGATCTAAAACTTATCGCCAGGAAATTAGATGGATACTCAGGCGCCGACATCACAAATGTTTGTAGGTTAGTATGACTAAATAAGTATTTGATACACATTCTAAACCCTTGTAAACCCTAAATAGTCGAAAGGTACAGAAGAAATAAGAACTTAAGAAATCTACTTTATTTTACTTGATATTAAAATGTTAATCCAAAATACGGTCAATAAGTTTACCAAATTTTATTCTAATTCATTTGGCAATTGACATATGATGAAGTCACAAATATTCAAACTATTTGAAACAAGTATATATAATAAGATATTAGAATATTTGTTTGTCCTATACAGATTAGATATTGTCAGCTCTTTTATTTCAAAATATTACTTTATGTGCCCACCTCGGCATCGCACGGATGCTTATAGGTATCAGAGTTTTGTACATATGAGTATGTAATATTATATTTCTATACAAGTCTGGTATAATGTACTTTCAAATAGTGTAACTGTGAAATTATTTATCAATTCGGTATCGACAACAGCGGGTCCAGTATTAACTTTCCTTATAACAAAATTCGCTCACTCTTTCATATATTTACAAATTATGTATAAGTGTGCTAATTTAACTGTATTGTTCCAAGGGATGCGTCTATGATGTCGATGCGTCGTAAAATAGCTGGTCTGAAGCCAGAACAGATCAAGCAACTTGCCAAGGAAGAGCTGGACCTTCCGGTCACCAGACAGGACTTTATGGAGGCCCTCGCAAAGTGCAATAAATCCGTCTCCAAAGGCGACATACAGAAGTACTTGACGTGGATGGACGAATTCGGGTCCTCTTGATTGTAAAGATAGTTTCAAACAAATAAATACCCCACTTAGAGTTCTGCGCCCGACTAGTAAGTTAAATGGTGTTTAACAGAATTGATATTATATATATTTTGTCGTACCATTTGTCATAATGGGTATATCAGGTCGACATATAGGTGTATCACCCAATGAAACTAAAATATAAATACCTTACTTCACCTACCATCCCACTGCTTCAAAAATTTCTTCTTTCATGTATTCTCTAATTGCGTTTCAGTATGGTATATCTGGTACAATTAAAACTATATAAAAAATGAAATAAAATAAATTAAGAATAAACACATGTGAGAATAAGAAATATTTGCCTTATAGACTAATATTGAATAAGTAATTGCAAAACAGTTCAGTATTAACACAAAAAGTATAAGTTTAATAGTGGCATATCGAAATTTAATGTTATAATAAGTGAGAATATAATACCAATAATTGATTTGATGTTTTAGGATATTATTCTGTTTAAGAAATAAATATGTATAAATCCGATTTAAAATACTATTATTAATATTAGCTTGGAGCATTCGACACAGTTGGCGCGGATTATTTTTCCCCTCAGCTAAAGTGAATTCTACAATGGCAGATAATTTCATTTTACTCATGTATAGAATGCCATAAATTTAGGTTGAAGTTAAGTCGTATAATATTGTAAAATATAAACGAAAGATATATTACACACATGTGGTATTTCGGTTGACAATTAGTTTACCAAAAATGTTTTAAATGTTTGTATTATCTAAATATAAGAATTGCAGATGAGATCTAATGTAATTTCCAGTGTTGAATGATCTGAGACTGTTGGTATTTTAGTGATAAACTATTTTTGCAAACAATTCGATGTTAGTGTTCTATCACAGACACGGGCACAATGTTCAAATTAAATTAATAATAAATAGAGGACCCCGATTCAGTAGTTTTAACATCACATTTGTCAGAACATTTATATTGACTAAAAAAAGCCGTGATCTTTGTACTTAAATTAGGTTATATAATGAGATTTTTCATTTAGATATAATTTTATGCCATAACTAATTTATGTTCTTTTTATAGTCTTTTATAATTAAATGAATTAAATATATTTGTTATTATATCGAAAATAATATATATATTTCAAATATGATATAGTTGCTCGCTCAATTAAAATTGTAAAGCATATTTTAGGTTTTTATTTTCAGGATCGCCTACAGTTCATGCAATGTGAGTTTATTGAAATTGAAATTAAATTACTGTTGAATTTATATATTGTGTTCTGGTGCTAGCAACGAATATGATTCGCCTAAGATATATAGTGCAATAATATTTATCTAAACATGCTTGTTTACAAATATTAAGTTTTATTTTGACATTATATTATTTTCTGAATCTATGAAAACCAGTGTCACTGTATAAGGTTCCGTGATATGACTAATTTCTATAATATATATAGCTATCACTTCCGAGCTAGTTACGTTGTACTATCACGCCCAAGAAAAGTGTTTGATTTGGTTACGGCAGCAAACTACGTTATCAACTTTTCATGGCCGTATTCGGATCAATGTTATCTTATATGTCAACGCCGATAACGGACCACAGTCGTTGCACGTAGCACTATTGGGGCTTTGAATATGAGTAAGAATGTTTCTAGGGATTAAAATAAAATATAATAACTCGGTGTGACCCCCTTACCCTTTACTGTAGTTTAGATGTTAACTATGGGGCTATAGATAGGTATGTTGTCTGTTGTGAGCAGCCATCTCATATCAAGTGAACTGTAGCGCAATCCAGTGAAATCAATATACCATTTGACGAAGATAATAAGAAGAATTCAGATCCACCTCTGTGTATTTAAATTAAATATGCTTCATAGATTAAAGTATATTGTTATAACAATGATCGTTTATAAACTAAAACAGCAATAAATTATTGTGTTCATTTCATACATTACTATCGATTTTAAATATAATTCAACGTTTATTTCAGGGACAATATTTCAAAAATTGGTAAAAATAAAATATTTTTGCAACCTTGATAATAATAACAAATCATGTATCTTTACATTAAAACATTGAAAATTAAATGGATTTAATTTTTTTATGCCTTATTACATTTTTTACTTACTCATAGATTCATCAACTAACTACAAATTGCGTTGGGCGATACATAATTGTAGTTCTCATTTCTTTTATACCTAATCGCCTAACATTCAAGTTCTTCAAAATAGAAGTATATATGAACGTGTTAGGCAACTTCTAACCAAACCCGAGAATGAAATGTTAAAATTTATAATAAAATATGTAAGGATAGCTTCAAAAGTTTAAACACGCCTGAAAACCTCGTGTATGATATACCATTTTATATGTAATCAGAATCGGACGGACTACCTAATAGTGATTTGTAAACGTCTATATGTGCCTAAATGTATATGTACATAAACATCACTACGTACATAACGTTAACATGTGGCGCCCGTGATACCACTCGTGGATTGACATAACAGAGGACTAACATAGACCTGCCTCTTACCCTGTAGCATCACCGCCTTATCTCACCCATCAACCATACACCCAAACGAAACTTACGGAGCAAGTTGCTTGGTGGCTGAATTAAGTGAGACTGAGGTATTCACGCAGATGAGTTTTTACAAAGTCTACCTCGGTTGAACTACCAGACATTCTTTGTAAGTGATTATGCATGTATTTGGACTTTGATAATCGTATCCTCCAAAACATGGTTACGATAGTAACACTGGCCAAGTGTAATGTTTATTCATTTATTAAGTATAACTTTGGATGCCTCTGCTCAAGGTTCAAAATACTCATGCCTAAAATCGCAACTGCATGCATTTTTCTAATTGAAGCTTTTTTACTTCAAAGAAAAAAACTTATTTTGTTTTTGTCATTAAGATGCACTATGCAAGTAACTACTATCTTTAATCAGACTAGTTTTTCCTGTCTGATTATTGCGATTAGCCTCAAAACAGCAGATTATAAGGTCCATGATTGATTTTATACTTATATTACTTAGCGCGCGAAATGTAGGTATGTCAAATGTTGCCTTCACCACAACATCGACAGTTGACAAATCCTCTGACTACCCTATCTGATAATTACGTGACAATATGTGGTAATTAGCAACAGAGGCTGGTCCTACTATGTTTACAGTGATTTTGGTGTTTTTTAGATGGTGAGTGGTAAGATTTATAATTACTTTCGTCTGCAATAAGTGTAGAACCTAACTAATAAGTAGTAATTATTTAGATATGTGATATAAATAATGTGTCAGTCTGTTTTTATGTAATATATCGTTCATAGCAATCCGGCATCACCAAGAACAAAATTATGTTTGTATGTATTTTATAAGCTTTTTGGAAACATTACTACCTTAAATTTTGGTTTATTCTCTAAAGGTGCCAAATCTTTAAAACTTAGTGTTAATTACTCTGTGGTTCAAGCGTTGTGGTCTGTTTAGATTTTCTCAATACAATATGATATAAACAAGGGTTGTTTATTTTTAAATTTTAATTCGGCGAATTACTTGTATTGTGGCATAGATTTAATAATTTATAGTTTTCACAGACCACAGACCCAATTAATATGCGAGATATTATTCTGAGAAGACATAGATAACAACATAGACAAAAGTAAATTACAAAGTTTAAATCTAAAACTTAAAAAAATAAATAATGGACGCAATTATAATGCCTACGGTATTATAACAAATAACCTACTTTTAACGATAATGTTTAAAAGAAGAGAAAAAGAAACAATAATGTTTCCCGTAATAAAATTGTCTTTACGTTAAAACAAAATTTATATCTTTATGTTGGTAGCACATATGAATAAAGTCATAGCAATTCATTAATCTCATATTTCCACTAATAGGACTTAAATGATTATTAATATATCAAAATTCACAAAGAAAAAGAAATTCTGCTTTAATTATATGTTTAATAATTACTAGATAGAGATATTTATTCAAAAAGTATTTCAAGCACCAACACGAAGATAGCAACTAGTGCCTTGGCGCCACCGGAACTTGTCACAAAATTACGCTGTACAGTTGGTAGTACTGTAGTAACTACGTGGTCGCAATAGTACAAAAATGTAAACATGTACAGATATTTTATATTTTATTATTCCGTGTTTCATGCATGGAAATAAGAAAACTTACTTTTAGCAGAATAGGATTTCCAAAATAGGTTATTTATTTTTAACTCTATTTCCATGTAATCTTTATTTTAATATTTTTGTTTTTTTATAACCGAAGTGAACATAGCTAGAAGCGTCGACAAGCGCCATAGAATTTCAAGTCCGTTTAATGGCGGACGCTAATAATTTTGGAAGTTTCTTGATTCTATTGTTCTGTTTTTGAATATTCTTCTATTTTTTACGCCCGGGAATGAGTTTTTCTATAAGTGATATCAGCCAAAGTGTTACAAACGTGAAAGTGATATGAAATGTTCTGTTATAGCGTGACAAAATCGTTTGCTAGATATGTAACCTTTTCCCTAACCTCGTTTACGCCAATGGAGTAGATATGTGATCGATGTGTGTGCGTCGGTGAACGATTTGTCGTCCGTTTCGTGTTACAATTTGTGTGTAGTTATTCGTCTTAATAGTGATGGAAGTGTCCGCGTCGCGGTTTTGCAATCCGACGCCCGATTTCGATGTAACGTAAGCGAGCCGGTCGATCGCTAAAGCAGGGACGGTCGCTACCAGCCGAACATGGCTGCGACGCAGGCTGAGTCTCAGCGTAGCGAAACGAACGTAGAGCAGAGTCCATCGGAGCAGCTCAGTGAATCTCGGAACGCTCTATTACAAAACGGGACCGACAAGTCTATCGGGCGCGTTCCGCCCGATGGCGTCGTGAACACAAAGAGCAAATCGCCTATGTCGGCCGATTCAGGGCAACCGCGCGACGGTGGCGAGGTGCTCGGTCATGATCGACCCGGAGAACGGCCAGTGACGGACCAATACGGCCAATATCGTTATCCAGAAGGCGCGGATCCTTATTATGCGCCGCGGCCCGGTTTTCCCGGCAAACCGCGGCCACCGCCGCAACAGCCGCGCTTTTTCCCGGGTCAAGCGGTATCGCAGGCGCCAGGGCCTACGCCAACACTGAACTCCCTGCTACAGTCTAGTGGGGCACCGCCACATAGATATCCAAATAGTTATGACCAGCCACCTGGAAGCTATGGACCAGCTCCAGGCTGGCCACCACCAAGACCCATGCCAGGGTACAACCCTCAAGGAAGTCCATATAGGAACTCAACGGTAAGTAAAAGTCAATATTTAAATATATTTATAGCAAATTTAAGCAATGAAATACTATTTTCAATCAAATTAATTGATATATAAGTAAGCAATAATTTACAGACACAAATATTATGAACTAAAACAATAAAAGAATGAATAGATTTCACTATTTACCTATTTAAAATTTTAGTGATAATAGTAGAAAGTGACATAGTGGAAATAAAAATTAACTAACTAAAATTCTGACTATATTTTTATAATTTGAATTAACTTTTTTGTATTGCAGATAACATACATTTATTAATATTATTATGTTATATCTTTATTTTATAGAATAGTAAATGTAAATTATATAAAGGTGATATATCAAATAAAATTAAATCATTGTTCTGTTATAAGTATACATTACATTTAAATATTGTCTTATATTTTTAACTGATTTATTTTCTTTATCCGATTAGATTAAAATAAATGAACTATATTGCCCTTAGAAAAATCTTAGAAAACTAAAACAGTAATATTTTAAAATTCTTTTTTCACATCATGTTTTACCTCTGAAACATACTTTTATACTATTTTATTACAATCATTCTTCAGCACTTTCCTCTTTACTTGTTATTTAAATTTGTACATATGGCAAACTTTTTAATGAAATAAATAAGCAAAATGCTTACCAGTACCCATAACAGTGTAAGATTTTTTTATTAGTTAAAAAAGTTGAAATTGTTCTTTCCTAAGTATCTGACTACTAAATCATAAAAGTACAAATATATTTTTAATGTATTGCTTATAATTAATTTTTATAATCTATCTCTATCTGAAATATGTAATCAGAATTTAGGATAGTTAAACTTTTAAATTCCGTGATCTTACTACAATCTGCAGACTATTGTAAAACATTTTACTGTTTGTTGTTTTAACAGGTCTAGTTTAGTTCTTTTCGGACAAAGAAAATCCTAGTTTAGATTATTTTTAGTGATATATTTTGTAAGTCAAAGCTTTCCTTTGTTTTTATTCTGGGACATTGAAGCATTGCTTAACCTAGCTTCGATAAGAAAGACCAGAAGGTAAAAATTTTCTACGTTCTTTCATCTTTGCTACGATAAATTACCACCCATTTGTTCAAATCAACATGCTCAGTAAATGTCTATAATATCAAGATTATGTCCACACTGTGAACCCATTAGAAGCTGGCGACCTCAGTTTAGGTCCTTCCATATGTTTAGAGAGACCTATACATTTACCCCACTTTTTCAACTGGTAAATGTATGAATGCTAACTATGGCCAACAGAACTATAATATGTAAAAATAAGTGATGATATGAGGAGTGTTCTGACAGTCTACAATTTTGTAGGTATTGCATAGTGTGTGTGGGTATTTCATGTGTCTTTCTTACACTTCTTTACTCTTACTCACAAAAATCTGTGTGTGTGACTCTAAAATTTTTAGGTATGAATTTTTTTTTTAATCGCTTTTATTATGAAAGAATTAGAGTAAATTATTAAAATTTTTTCATTTCTCATATGGTAATTATCATAATTTATTTGAAATTATTATTTATAATGAATGTCATCAATATCTGTCCTTCTGAAGCACCTGTACTTGAAATTACAGAATGATATAACCACAAGTTCCTTAAAAATGTTAGAGGGCAATCATTGAATTACTCGTACTACTGACTAACCTGTTTGATAGTGCTTTTCTATTCAAATTTTCTCAGGAAATGAGGACTTAAAAAAATATTGAAAGTCAAAACAAAATCAATACTATTGTATTAGTTTTTTTTTAATTCAAGACAAATTGCCAAATTTACAAAATATTTCAAATTTTTTCCAAATATAGATTTTACATCACAATAGGGTTAATTTTATTGGCTTCATGAGCTAAGTTATGTTACCAGAACTTGGTGGAAGGATTTTAGAATTTTTATATCAGAATTGTGAAAGTAACGGTAATTACACTACTTACACTTATTACCACACAAACTTTATTTACCACCTCCATGGTATGGTAATGAATACAAATTGTGTTTTAATGTTATTAGGATATACTGGTTGTATATATAAAATATTTTGCCACTATATAAGCAAATTTGCAATCATGCAATTATTAGAAATTATAACACCATGTTATACTTGCTAGGCATTATTATACACAGGATGACAGGCAACATGAGGCTTGCATGCAGCCATGTGAATGTTATGTTATTGCACCTTTGACAAGTTTTGTAATTTGATTAGAGCTATTTCTTTCTATTAAGCTTTCAGTGACTGAGATTAGTAGCTGAATTGCTTGAGTATGTATCCTGAGTAATAGAATAGATACTATAATAGATTAAATATCATAAATCACACGCGTCCACTAAAAATGGGATAGGATATTAATTGTTATTTAGAATTTTTGGAAATTATTCTCTGTTATTTTGTTTTCTATACTGAAAATATCATGATCTGATTTAGTAAGTTATTTATTTAATTTTGACGCACAATATGGTAGTCGATAGGTCAATTATTCTTAGGTATCTTTTAAGAAGATTTTTGTGGTCTAAAGCTGTTTCATGTCTCCAGTATCGAGTACAGCTTTTGGTCATCGGAACTGTATGGATGTAAATAGGTACGACAACAGGTACAGGGTAAGACACTGGTCGAGAAATTTCAATGAGGTCTCTGGATATTCGCGGTGTTCTCGAAGCTAATATTAAAAGCGTGCGAAGTTTTCTATTTTCAGGTTAGACTAATGGAAAGACATGAAAGAGCTAGGCAGAAATTGTAGCTACACATTATTTTTTGTAATTGTAATTTGCCGATGTGTGTGTGGTTTAAAATACCGAAAATTCATTTAAACCTAGTTTTTATGTAGCTGACACAGATTTGTACTTTTGGCGCATGGATGGATAAACATTGTTATCTAGATTAGTTAAAGACCTTAAAAGAGAGTACAACAAATCACTTTAATTATTTCATAACACTATAATATGTTTGTGAATTACAAAATTAGTTATTTCAAACTACTATATCCAATAGTATCTTAATGAATAGAATTGTTGAAATGAAATGATTTTGTTTTTGTAAAATGAAAAATCTAAACAAGCTATTCGATAACACAGCACACAACACAGCTGTGGAACACCAAAAAAATAGAGATATACCGAGGAATAACAAAGTGAATCTGACGCTGTTAGCTGATATAAAAACGAAAGCGCACAGCGATAGTGAAAGTTTGATGTGTAGGCAAATATTACTCGCTTCCAGGCGGAGATTTGTGCGTTGCTCTCTCACTTCAAAAAGGGACTAAGTCGACCGAAAATCGAGACTCCGCCGTCGTTTTGATACTCGTGTTCTCCGCGCATACATTATGTAGAAGCAACGGCGGGACGTGTGTTTGACGGAATCAACGTGAATGGAACTTGACATCTGACACATGTATCTATCTGACTCAACGTGAAAGGGATTTTCGTACTTCTATCAGCCCACTGTACGCTTTCAAGCTTTACGAGAGAATGGAGTACAATGGAAACAAAATCATCAAATATTTCCTAAATGAATTTGCTGGGGTAGACATAATTCTGTTATGTTTTTTATATCCGATTACGATAGAAAGGTTGATAATGTTCTTGGTATAGGTGTGCATACATATAAATAGGTATGTAGGTTTATATGTCCGCATTTTTGGCTATATATGGCCTGTTGGTTTTTATAGGGTCGCAATGTGGTGTTTAGATTCTAGTGGGTACGGAATGAGTGAACGGGATTATAAAAAAAAACTAATATATTATAAACAGCCTTAGTTTTTTGTAGATACTATGGAGATCCTAGACCTTTTCATATTCGCAACACGCAAATGGCACAATAAATTTTCTGAAAGAGTAGAACGTATTTTAATTTTGTTATATTTAGGTATAGGTTATTTTTCGTCATTCTGCATATATTTTTTCTCTAATCCCTCTGTATATTATTAAAACGCCAACCACGACAGTAAATTTTTCAAAGATAATTCCTGTTTACTTCTATTTGTGGTAGGTACTTTTCTACAGTAACTGGCGGCCGAGTCTATACAATTTACTACATACTCGTACGTGCAATTCACGCAAAATAATAAGATCATCTGTGACCATGGGGAATAATACTGTCTATGGGCGATCGTAGTCATTTACCATGAGATGAGATCGACCTATAACATTATTTCCAGTATATTATTAAAGTGGATGTAAGGCTTTGTTCATACAGAGGCAAATCGGGAAATTATAACGTAACGTTATTATTTTTGTAGTTGTTCATTAACTTCTATTACCGTTCACCATTCATGCGGTTACAAATGATGAATCGTCATTTTCGTGAATTCTCTAATCGTCATTTAATTATAAGTCAATATTTCCTTATTTTCTTTGAATGAATGAAGGATTTATTCTATGCAACTATAAGAGACAATGCAGGGATCAAATTAAAAGATTATATGATGATTAAATTTAATTATAATTAAATAATGTGTATTTTCTATTTTTTAACACATTTTGGGCCATCTAGAAATTACGTTGTACTTTGACGGGACAACGTAGTGTGGTGACAACGGATTGAAATAAGTTTCGTAGCGTCACATTTCAAAATGTATCAATTCTCTAAGTATTAACACGTGGAAACAGAACAATTAAGGTAAAATCTCACAAATGTGTGAAAAATCATGAAATTCATGTGATTTATTATAATACATTTTTAAATGTGTTATTATTATAAGTCCAAGAAGCGTTTTTAAACGTGATCAAGAAAATAAACTTCACTGGTTCGGCCGTACTTTAAACGTTAATGCACATAGTGTTTCTAAGTTAATGTTTGTTAGACACGTTCGTAAAGTAATCAACGGATGAAATTTTTTCCTTTGCGTTCAAAATGCTGCTCATGCTAAGGATTCAAGCGGTGGGCGTGTATATCGAAATCAATCGAATGAACCCTCAACAATTTATATATTTTTTTATGTCCTGCAGAATATAATTATTAGGTAGTTCAAACCGATTACTTCTGAT